AATTGCACAAAGAGATGGAAAACACAACCCACCTACCCCTGACTTATAACAGGAAATAGGAAGTTCTTAAATTTCACATCTATGATCCTACCTAAAACACACTTGAGGCTGTTCAATAGTTCCCCTCTCAGAGGAGGGTTGTGGGGCTGGGTGAAAAAGATGAAGGGATTAAGCAAAACAACAACAACATAGTTACAGACAACAGCATGGTGATTACCAGAGGGAAAGAAAATGGTGATGGAAGGAGACTTGACTTGGGGTCGTGAACAATACAATATACAGATGATTTAGTATGGAATTGTACACCTGAAACCTATATACTTTATTAACCAATGTCATTCCAATAAATTCAATAAAAGTATATACAGTATAAATAAAAAACAAAAAAACCAACCATAAGATGTAACTAAAAAGGTATTTGCACGTCTTACATGATCTATTTAACACGTCTTATTACCATTAAAAAATATTTTTTATACTTCAATAAGTACTATCATCAGTACAGAGTTTTCTGTATACAGTGGTCAAGTGTTCAGTAATATCTGATTACTGCACTTAATCGTCAAAGTCACTTCTGAATGGATCAGAAGCATTTTGAAATGTAGCTAAAATAATCTAGTTGTTCAAAGACAGTTCAGTGAAATAAGCAGATATATTTATTTGGCTCAGTCATGCTCTCTCAAAGTTTGAATAACAAAATGTTATCACACAACTGCCTTGAACCAATAATTCCTTCGAACTACCATTATGGAGAGATTTGGGGTATATAAGAAATTTTATTGCCCAGCATGTGGGGCTCAGAGGTTGAGCAACGACCCATGAACCAAGAGGTGTCTGGTTTGAGTCCCTTCAGGGCACATGCCTGGGTTTCAGCTCCATCCTCAGTGGGGTGTGCAAGAGGTGGCTGATCAATGTCTCTCTCTCTCATCAATATTCCTATCTCTCTATCCCTCTCCCTTCCTCTCTAAAATTAATAAAAAATGTTAAAAAAATTTTATTTAATTTAGTGAGATACATATAACTCAAATTGGACCACAATATTCCTTTTTTCATTGGTTCAAATTATGGTTGAGAGGGATCAACAACATAAGTCAGATTTGCAATTTCATTAACTCATACCAGAATGCACAATTTTTCCTCTCAGAACTTCATAGTCTAAATAATAAATATGTGTTTAACTAAATATCTAAATAGTATTTCTAGTATGTCTGGAATATAGTTGCTCTTATAAACAGAAATCAGTACTACAACCCCAGACATTATCAGAGTCTTCAAACCTCAGACTAATGCCTATGGCATTAACAATGAAATTCTTAATGGAATTAAGCCTGAACTAAGGAGACTTTATAGCATTTAGAATCAGAGGCAGAGCTATTCCCCTGAAGGATATGTGTCTTCAGAATTGACACCTGTCTACTCTTTGGGTTTTGCTGAGTCTACACTGGCGGAAATGTAAACAATATTCTGTCTAGTAATCAAATGTTTTCTGAAATTTGGGGGGAAATTCTTTCAAAGCAAAGGAGAGAGCTTGATTAAAAACTTTACTGCCCATCCTCACCGCTGTGGCTCAGTTGGTTGAGCATCATCCCATGCACCGAAGGGTTGCCAGTTTGATTCTAGGTTAGGGCACATGTTCAGGTTTTGGGCTCGATCCTCGGTCTCAGGGGCATGCGAGAGGAAGCCAATCTATGTTTCACTCTCACATTGATGTTCTTCCCTCTCTCCCTCTCCTTCCTCTCTCTCTAAAAATCAGTAAGTCGGGCCTGTGTGGCTCAGTTGGTTGAGTGTAGTCCCATGCACCAGGAGGTCACCAGTTCAATTCCTGGTCAGGGTACATGCCCAGGTTGTGGGCTCAATCCCCAGTGGGGGGCAGGAGGCAGTTGATAGATGTTTCTATACTTTTCTCTCTCTCCCTTCCTCTCTCTGAAATCAATAAAAACATGTTTTAAAAAATAAAAATCAATTAAAAATCTTTTTAAAAAACACTTTACTGCCCCTCCCGAGTCATAGCACCTCCCTCCACTACTAGGATATGTGGATACTGTCCCACTGCAGCAAATAGAGGGAAGAATCTGATTGATACCACTTACAGTATGTCATTCTTACTTTATTAAATTTCTATTTTATTTCCACAATCAGGAGGAGTTATGAGGCTCCTTTCCCTGTGTTTGGTTTGCTTTGGTGTGGAAGAAGAGTGGTTAATGATACAATCTTTAAAAATTATGAAATCTACCTTTCTTCTCTTCCTCATCCTTTTCCCAAATTTTTAACTTTGCTTTTCCAAATAAAACTCCATTAATTTTCATCATAGATACAAACATTAGAGCACCCAATATATATATCTTGCACTGACATGAAAAATAGCAAAGAAATGACAAGGGACAGGAAAACATGTAAGAGAAATAAAACCCCTTAATTTTTTTCAAAGAAAAAAAGTTGCCCTGCCCCACAAGCATTTTTCTATAACAGCACTGTCTAATGGGACCTTCTGCCATGAGGAAAATGCATTCTCTTCACTATGCCTGTTGAGCACTTAAAAAGTGCCTGGTGCAAATAAGGAACTGCCTTTATTTCATAGGATTTTAACAGGTTTAAATGTAAATAGCCATTTGTGGCTAGTGGCTACCATACCGGACAGCATGGTTTTAGAACTTTTACAAAAAAGCCAAAGTGACAGATTTGTATCTTTGGGGTGAAGATATCCAAAAACTGTGAGTGGTAAAGATCAGGAAGCCAGGCGAGGTGGTGGCGGCGGCGGTGGGTCATATGTTTAATTCATAAACACACTTATTGGAGGTGTGTAGAGGACCCTTGTCAAACCTATGAAAAAAACTTTAGTTATAATGATGTACTGAGAAATGATTTATTCAAGACCAGGACAAGGTCAACCAGAGGAGATGCATGATACAGCCGAAAATTCTAGACAATCTGGACTCAGAGCAAGAAAAGGTGACTTGCCTGTTGCGCAGCTTTGGAATGGAAAGCCCAAGATTTCTGACTGACTGAAGAAAGGGTCCTGTTAGTAGATAGATGAAGGCTTGTTGTGCGCACGTGCGTGCACAC